ATATAAGGCTGTGTTTCCTGCCTCAGATACAGATACAAGGAAGTGTTCATTCATTCATGAAAATTACAGCGAAAACAAAAAACGAGGAAGTTTACGAGTTCAGAGATTGAAGTCCGTCTGTCAGAGATCCAGAAAAGAAAATCTGTCATTTTTAGCAGGTCAGCTGTGGAATAAAAAAGAGCTGCTAAAAGTATAAACAACTGTGTTAAATCATTTTCATTTATTCAGAAGCCACAGCGCTGCGGTGGTCTCAGATGCGGGTTTGAAGTAAGCATTTTAAAATGTTTTCAAAATAAGTCTGGCACTTTGGAGAAAACCCAGGACTCCCTGGAGGGATCATGTACCCCCTCTGGTCTGGGAACGTCTCAGAGTCCCCCAGGATGAGCTGGAAAGTGTCGCTGCGCATAGCGCGGGGTCTCTCCTGCTAAATCACTCGTACGCACAATTTAAGAACAAATCTGTGCGTACGAACGGTTCTTGCATGTGGCCCAATAAATCTAAATCAAATCACTATTTTTGTGGCCATACTTTGCCCTCAAAATATCAGTTCTCCTCCTGGGTACATTTGCAGAAACCCAAGGATTTTGTAGTATTATACTCAGATGTTTGATTAGTACAAAGCAGGTGCTTTGTATGATTATAATTTTCATACAAGAGATGAAACAGTCAATAACCAAAATAAACAAGACTTGTTTTTTTTTGTTTTTTTTTTTGCAAAACATCTCACTGTGTGAGTTGATCCATTTTTGGCTACATGTATCTGACAAAAATAACTATCAGTTTGACGACAGAGGACCTTTTGAACTTCTTAATTTTGTTTGGTTGATAATTTTGATAACAATGGCATATGTCCAGCTCCCCTTGTTAAAGGGATTGAAAAATATTGTTTACTCCACTTTCCCACATTTACAATTAAGCTGTCAAATAATTTGTGGCACAAATCTTCAAATAATTAGATATAAAATATATAAACACTATACAAAGTGAAATACTGCACATACATATATATATTAAGTCCTTATATATTTTTTAGATAACCCTGTCTCATTTTTTTCTTTTTTAAATGGATCCCTGATTAGTTGTAACATTAGACTTTATTTGATATTTTAATTGTAAAATAAAGACTGTAAAAATGCTGTAGGCTGTTAGTTTTGTAAATTTTTAAAAATATATTTTAACTCAGACGGAACCATTTTATTTACACACAAAGCATTCTGGGTAAACAATGATGGGGATAGGTCCTCGGTGTGAGCGAGCTATATCCACCCTGAAGGTTAATCTTGGACAATATCTGACGATTGACTCTTTTAAATGAAAGCAGAGAGCGTTGACAGAGAGGAGAAGGTAGAAATGACTCAGYCTGTAACTGAAAATATGGATGGAGGACAACAGAGCTGCTTCATGGAAGAAGAACCTCAGCTTAGCCTGTTAGCTTTTGCGCTAGCGCCAATGCTATATTCCCTTATAGCTCAGCACTAGCGCGACTAACAAGCTAAACTGAGGTCCTCCATCCATATTTTCAGTTGCTGAGTCATTTTTGCGTTCACCTCTCTGTCATGTGGATGGAGGACCTCAGTGACGAGAGGAGAACGTGTAGCGCTGAGCTAATACATATACTGTATATGGTGATAGCGTCGGGGCTAATATATATAATGTAATATATTTTTAAACTTTTATTTTAAAAATAATAAATCTGAACATCTTACAGAATTTTTACAGTTAAAATAAATGTTTATCATATAAAGTCTAATGTTACAACTAATCATGGATCCCTTTAAAATAACAGTCATGCAAGGTTTCTCCTACATCTCACCCAAAGTGCATTTTAAATTGTTTACCATTACTAAACTCCCCATCTTTACCTTGCTCATGAAACAGTCTCATTATATAGTTTTCATGTACATGGAAATTTACYACCAAGTACCAAATACCTTTTACTTTTGTGTTTAAACAACCTTTTTTCATTTGCTCTTTCACTTGTCCTATAGGTGCAGGGAGCAGTGTACACCACAAATGCAACAGCGCCAAACATCGCATCATCTCCCCAAAAGTGGACCCCCGCTCCGGGGGCTACAGCAGTGCACACTCTGAGGTACAAAACAACGACGTGTCTGAGGGAAAGACTGAGCACAGCGCCCATGGAGGAGGCAAAAGCTCCGGGGGAGGCGGTGGCGGGAGCAGCGCCAGGGAGAAACGCAACGGCAAAGTCCACAAGCCCGTCCTGTTGCACCAAAACAGCACAGAGGTGTCGTCCACCAACCAGGTGGAGGTCCCAGACACCACACAGAACTCCCCCGTTTCCATCAGCAGCGGTCTCAACAGCGACCCAGACATGGCTGACAGCCCCGTGGTGACAGGGATGAGCCACGTACCCTCGGTCATGTCTAGTCTGTCCCAGAGTGTCTTCATGTCTGAGGTCACTGGAGACCCCGTCTACAGTATGTCTCCCACCGGGGGTCCCAACACTCACCTGATGGGTGCTGACGCCACTTCACAAGGCTTGGTGCTGTCTGTGGCTGCCGATCGTCACAAATTTGCCTTCCCTGGAGGAGGAGTGGGAGAACCTGGAACCACCACGGCAGGAGACAGTCTGTCCATGCTGTCTGCAGCTGGGGTGTCTGAGGAACTGGTGCTAACCAGCAGTCTGGATGCTGGCACCATCAAGATTCCAGAGACTAACATGAACTTTGACCCTGACTGCTTCCTAAACAACCCTAAGCAGGGCCAGACCTACGGCGGCAGTGCTCTGAAGACAGAGAATAACTCCTCCTCAGCATCTTCCTCTGGTGGCAGCAGTGGTAGCAACGGCAGTCTGCAGCGCTCCCCTAACATGTCAGACAACGGCTACACCTTCAGCTCGGCTCTCGTAAAGAACATCAAGACAGAGGACACGTCATTTGAGCAGCAGCTGGCCAAAGAAAGTGGCTACCAGGTTGGGGGAGTAGTGAACTGTGGCGGCGGGGCGTCATCTGGTGCTAGTTCAAATCAGGGTAATCTTGGTCTGACGGCAGGGGGATCTCTGCTTCCCTCTGGTGGGGGTCTGAGTCCAAGCACTACCTTGGAGCAAATGGATTTTAGTGCCATTGATGCGAAGCAGGAGTACACTTCTAACGCCACCGCAGTCAGCTATGGCCAGGCCATGTCTAGTCCTCATATGCAACACCAGAACCATTCTCCCAGCTTTTTCCTTCAGGATGCTTCTCAAACCGGCCAGACTCAGCAAGGGAGGTCGAGCTTGGGCCAGAAGACACATCTGATGGAACATAACTCCCACGACTCTGCGGCTTACATGGGGCTACAAGTGGTGAAAACTGACTCTCCTGGCAGCAATGGCCACCTCCATCACCACCATCAGGCCCAGCATAGGGCCAACTGTAATGGAGGTTCGCCCACAGAGGGGCCTGGCCAGACTGGTTCTCTGCAGCTGCTTCAGTACCAGGGGCCTTTYCCTGGGATGGGCACGGAGCATGAAGAGGTGGTTGGTCTAGAGCAAGCCGGCGGTGTCAGTTCAGCTCAGACTGGAGCCACAGAGAATGGAGCTGAGAATCTGCTCAAGCCAGGGGACCACATTCAGGCGTGTGGAGTAGGAAACGGAGACAGAGGGGGAGCGGAGCACTACCTGCAGCAGGCCTCAGATGGTGGTGGTGGTGCAGGAGGTGCCGGTGAAGGAGTAACCATCCACAATGGGAACAACAGCAACGACGGCAGTAACCGCACCCAGCAGCAACTGCAGCCCCTCCTGCAAGGCACAAGTATGGTACAAGGACTCTACAATGCAGTGGGAGCCCACCAAGGTCTGGGTGGTGCAGCTACTAATGGAGGAGCAGGGGGAACAGGCATGGAGATCAACTTAGACCACTTCGACATATCTTTTGGCAACCAGTTCTCTGACCTCATTAATGACTTCATCTCAGTGGATGGCAGTGGGACCGCCATGTCAGCTGGAGGGGCTCTGTATGCTCACCAGCTGGTCACATCTCACAGCTCTGAAAACCAGAACACAGCCAGCGGGGCCCCTCAGCAGGCCCAGGAAGATGGAGGAGCCAGAGGTTCTGGCTACAACCCGTCTGAGCTCTGCCTTCAACCTTGCTGCAGCCCCCAGTCTCTGAGTGGGGGTGCTGGTGCAGGAGGCAACACGGGAGAGGCTGCTTCATTGTCCTACATGAATGTTGCAGAGGTGGTCTCTGCAGCTGTTGCCCAGGGGGCTTTAGGAATGCTACAAGCCACAGGCCGTCTCTTCATGGTCACTGACTACTCCCCGGAGTGGTCCTATCCTGAGGTGAGTCAGAGGGCTCTTTGCAGTATTTTGTTTATATGTTGTCAGCAGTTTTTAATGCTTAACATGGATAAATCTTTTTTATCTCTTATGGTTATGAAGTTTTCTGATTCAGGTTCATTTTAACTGATTGAATTATTGCCTTTTGTGCCTGAATGTTTTTTTCCTCAGGAGAAATCAGCACAGTTTTCACTTTTCAAAACCTTTTTTTTTAATTATTTACTTATTTTTGTTGTTGTTGCTTTGGGCATTTTCTTGCAAAGCTTCAGTTTAATTTTCCTCTGGAATTCAACAACTGTCCTATACTATAAATTAATTAACTTGATTAAAAATTTGATAAACTAGTTATCATGAGCTTACAACTAGTGAAGGTACTCAAACACACTAAAATTATACACATTAAATGCTAAGTACACAAAACTACACATTAGTTCTAAAACCCAAACAGATTATTATTATTRTTATCACAGATTTCACAGATCACATCGCTCCACTCTCCATCACCGCCAAACATTCAACTTTAGCATATTTTCTTCTTCCTCCTGCTGAATTTTTGGCACTTGACAAATAAYKTCATGCCTCAGYCGGAAAGGAGGGGATGGTTGTTTGTGCAGCTCGAGAGAAAGCTGAGACTGATGGAGAATTGGAGWGTTTTAACCCTGAGTCTGCCCGTGTTTCATGTTGCCTTGCACTCCTGCAAAAACAGCCAGCCAGGAATCACCTCTGGAGTGATTTCAGCAGACAACCTTATAGCACAGACACACGGCTCATGGATCGTAAATCTCTCCACGTTGGATCAGAAAATTCTGATCCGTTAATTATACTGGAGCCTGATATGAATACTGGATCAGATTGGCCCCATCCCTATATTAGCACCGCTCTCATATTAAAATTATAAAACCTTTAACTCAGATTGTAGCAACTTAAACATTTACATATCTACATAAATGTATTTGTTATTACAACTTTAAATTTTCAGCTGTGCAAAATTTAACAACTTTTATATATTTTGTAATAATAAGAACAGAACTGGAGACATTGGTTTTTCTATGAAGGAGACAAAACAATGTCTGGAACAAATTTTCAATTGCATACAAGTTGTGGATTACTTTAAGGTGATGAAAGTAAGATAAAAAGCATTATGTCTGATATTGGTCAACTGAAAAAAAAGCAAAAGTCAAAAAAACTATTTCATTCAGTACAACCCATAAAATAGACCAAAAAATACTGTGAACATTTAAGATTCAATGCATTATTGTTATTAAGAAAAATAACTTCAGAAAGTTTTATGTATTTAGTTTGCAATGTTTTGTGTGTGTGTGTGTGTGTGTG